ACGGATGACGACACGGGACCCGGGGTTCATGGGCTCCTGGCTGCTGTCTTCTGGATGACTTTTCAGGCCCCACAGACCCAGACGTTCGGAGGAAGTGGGCTGTGGGGAACAGGAGTGATCTGCCACCTGCAATAGCTTTGGGGAGGCAGAAGGGAGGAAAAGTGGGAAGTGGTGGAATTGTTTGGATTTTTATACTTCTGGTTTTTATTTTGGAAAAGCTGTGCAGAAAAAAATTCAACAAAATGTTGCTGTGAAAAGTAAAAATCAAATCTTAAGCATTAAAAAATTCAGATTAACAATCAGCTCAGAAGATGGGAAGGGGAGAAGGCCAAGAATGGAGGAAAAGTCAGGCAGACAGCTGGCCTTGGAAATGAAGGCCATTTCCCTGAGCACTTTGCAGAGGAAGACAGGGCGGTCACAGGCAGTGGCTCCCAAGCTGTCTTTGACATTAGTGTCTCAGCTCTCTGCAGTCCTACCAGACAACCTCCCCAGTGAGGCAGCAGGGGTGCTGTGAATCACATGCCTCCCAGTCTCCCGGGAGCTTCACCCTCAGCAGGAAGGGAGTGTGGCGGTGAAGGACAGGGCAGGTTTGAGGTTGGCTTCGGACCAGATGCACAGCAAAGGGTAATGGAGCAGCTGCTTTTGAGTTAGGCATGCCCAGGCTTTTGCCAGCCCCTCCTCTGGGCCCTCTGTACAATGACACTTCTGTTGAGAGTGTTCGTGGGTACACAGGCGTCTGCATAACTCACGAATGGGTGGAGGTCTTGGTGGCCTAGATCACTGACCAGCCTCAGAGGGGTGAGACCAAGGGCTGCCTGGTGTAGGTGCCAATCCCTTGTCCAAGGCTTATCAGCAAAGCTCAGCTAGAGGAACCTATGATCACCAGTCTTCTACCACTGCTCTTAAGATGGCCCTCGTCCTCCTGAGGGTACCAAGAATGCTTCAGAGGCCTTGGCTTCCAGATCAGGACCATTTTCTCTCCTGAGCATCCGTGATTGGAAGCCTCATCACCAGTTCGAGAAGGAGCCTGTTGCACATGGAGGACGCTGGGCCCTGGGGTCAGCAGATCTGTCCATCCTTCACCTGTAGCAGGTCTGGGGGTTGGTGCTGAGGATGGTCCAGGAGACTCTTAGCGCTCCGGGACAGATTCCAGTCTCCTTCACTGAGTACCTCTGGGGCCAGGAAGCTAGAGGTGGTGGTGCAGCCCCCATTCTCTGACTCCACTCCACCCTGGTCCTTGCTGTTGCATAGAGGCATTGATTCTAGCTCTGTCCCCACCTCCCTGGAGTTCTGGCTCCGCTGGGGCCAGGAGCAATGTCCGCTCCTGCAACCTTGGGTGGAAGCCATGTTCCTCTGGCTCAAGTATACTTCTAGCATGTAATAAATGGTCCAGAAGACAGTGAAGCAGCCCACCAGCACCAGGGTCTAGGGAAAAGACAAACACAGACAGTGTTAGTGACAGGCTCTAGCCCAGAGCATGAGCCTGGGGAGTCTTTCCCTTCTGGGGACCACCTTCCCAACCCACCCATCGCCATCGCCTTCCTCACATACAGGGAGGGAGCTAATAGGCTAGGAGTGATGCTAGGGACCCATGTCCTCCAACGTCTCATTGCCAGTTCACAGGGAGTAACCCCAGGACCAAATCTCCCAGGATAGTCCTGCCAGCTACAGCTGCAGTCCTGGCTCTGTACCTTGAGGGTGTTAGGGGTAATGGTGTAACCATCCTCCTCAGGGATTTTCAGCCCAGGCGGGCAAGGCAGGGTGAAGTCATCACGCAGGTATTTCCCACTCATAGCGCTTTCTAACAGACTGCAGGGAAGAAAAGACAAGAACAGACTACTAACATGGCGCCTATACCATCTGCCCTCTGTCTTGCAGCTGAAGAGGGAGGGAAGCCCCAAAGCAGAGAGGGCAGAAGTACCCCGGGTTCCTAGTCCCTGACCCCTGACAGTGGCTGAAGCCCGAAGCACAGCTGGGGTTCAGAAGGTGGGGCTCCCTCGGTGGCACCTCCTGCCCACCCCATAAGAGCCATCTCCCTCGCTCTCCTGATGGGTGTAGCCAAACCTACCTTTGTCTGTCCTTGATGTCTACTGGACTCCACATGGAGCCATACAGGGTCAGCTGCCACTGCTGGAGGATGCCCACCTGGAGCGGCTCATCTCCTAGGGCAGTAAGTGGGTAGGCATGAGCTGTGGACTGTTGGCCAAGCAGAACGGCAGAGCCTGGCCCACCCAGCCACCCAAGGAGACTCAGACCACACAGTCTGCTATAGTTTGTGTCCCGCAGACCCCAAGGGTCCTGCGGAAGTTCCTCATGGGGCATTCTAGGGACAGGACAGAAAGGTTGAAGGCATACGGGAAGCAGTGTTTTGCCTTTGCCTCCCATACTCTGGGGTTTCATTTGGGATTTTCCTTCAAAGGAAAAAATGTCCTCCTGTCAAATTCAAGGTTTAAAAGCTGCCCATCAAGTGAATTCCTAACCTGACTGGAAGCTGGAAAGGCAGGTTCCATTCCCAGTCTCCACACTGACACTGCAGACAGTCAGTAGTCTTGCCATTGTGACCTTCACTGCTACCATGATCCTAATAAGTCACTTCAAGCCTAAGGACCTCAGCTTTTCTAAAAAGCAAAATGGTGAAAATTTGTCCTGCCCTTACCTGCCTATCAGGGCTGGCCGAAGGATGGTTATATGTGAAAGGGCTTGAAATGTGGTTTCAACAAGGAATATTTGTTGCTATCCTGAGGAAAAATGGATCAGTCACTTCTCCAAGGAATATAGAGGCAGTATAAATGAGCATTTAGGGACAATGCCTACTTTCAGGATAGGACATACTTCTTGGCATGTACCATCTTTACCAACAGCAACCCTACCTATTACCCATGGAACACTTCCTGTGGGGAGTGTGAGACTCAAGGGGACCAGGAAGTATAAGACAGAAGGGCTCACCTACATCCCTGATAGCCAGTCTGTAGATGCCTCTTGCTCTTTCCCCCCAGCACCGCACAGTGGAGAAGGTCCAGTCATTGAAGCCATTAGGATCCCTGGGAAAGAGCAAAGCAGAACACATGGATGGCCTGGCATGGACAGTGACCCTTATCCCAGGAACATGGAAGGGACTATAAGCATTTGGGAGGGTGTCATCCCACTCCTGGGATCTCGGGGTGTGAGGAACTTGTGTCCTTGTGTAGTTAAGGACAACATGGAAACCCACAGATCTAAGTTTCTTTCTCTTTTGGACAGGGCTTGCTATAAAGCCCTAGCTGTTCTTAAACTCTTTCCTTTTCCACCTTTTAACTTGGAAAGTTATGGTGTGTGCTGTTCCTTTTCCCGCCTTGCTAGCCATTGGGCCCAGCATGCTGAATGAATGTCTACAAGTGAGCCATGTCTTCAGCTGTTGGCTTTTGAAACTGGGTTTTTCTAGACAGACCAGGCTCATGTCAAAGTCATCATCCTCCTGTCTTATCAACCTCCCCAGTGCTAGAACTCTAGCTACCATACTACTACACTTTGCTTTCCAAAGGATTAGGGGAATGCATGCAGAATATAATGCCAAGTATGTTATAAACACTTGAATAAAACATGCTCCATGGTTTCCAGCTGCTAAGGACAAGTGCAGTTTCTTAGGACAATGTTAGCATCCTCTTGAGAAAGCCCTTATTATGAAGAGAGGTCAGGAGGCTATGGGCAGGTGTACATACGAGTCCATGCTGCGGGGTGCGCCGATCAAAGACATCATGCCACTGGGACAAAAGAGTTTCAGTTCTAAGCTGCCACGTCGTGGGTGAGTGATGGAGACTGTCACTGCCACATGTTCCAGGGTCTTCAGCCCCGACATCTCCAGGTCCATCCTGCTGACTGTAGGAAGTCAGGCTTGGCAGCTGGGAAACCAGCCCATAAACACTTACGCCCTCATTTCATCCCAACATATACAAAGGTATACATGTACTGAATCCACATACAAACATCTCTGGCACAATGTAGACTACAAAATGGAATGCAATGCTGCAGTCAAGTTCCCGTCTGGCTTAGGGTCTAGCTAGGGAGACAATGAGGCCAAGATGATGTAAGAACCCCATCATTCCTTCATCCAAAACCCATCCACTATGCACCTCCCACATTTCAGGTACAGCACGAGATGTAGGAAATACAAAGAGAAGTGTGTATAGTTCCTACCTTTATCTGCAAATAGAAAATGATACATGATATACATAATTGATACGGGGCATATTAGATAGCAGTGAGATATGCTGAATAAAGAAATCACCTCAGACTAGCAGAGGACATTCTAGAAGGTGAAATGGCACTAAAAAGATAGAGGTAAACAAACAATTCTCATATATGGAAGACAATACAATAGTAATTAATTTATAAGCTACAAAACTGGATCTACTTCAAAGAGGTTACGCAGAATGACAAAGCTAATCTCACAAGGACTTATACTTCACAATTAGACTCGTCTGACTTTCTCTAAGTAGTACACCTGTAGAGACAGAGAACAATGTTGTTCTCAGATGTCAGGGTGGGAAAGGGGCAGCACAAAGGAGTCCTGGGACAGCACACTTCAGATCCTGACTGTGGCAGTGGTTACAAAAGTACACACATGAGCAATCACAGAGCTACACAGACAGACACACACACACAGACAGACAGACACAGTCAATCACAGAGCTACACAGACAGACAGACACACACACACAGATGCTGAATGCATGCAAAACTGGTAAAACTGATCATGTGCTATGGATTGTGCCAACATCAGGTTCTTGACCTTGATACTGAATTATAATTATATGACATTAACACTGGGAAAAGGTACATGAGATTTACTTGCTCATTATTTCGAAACTTTCTATAATTATTTCAACTAACAAACTGGGAGACTCAACTGGGGACTAGGAAATTAGACTGCAGTGAGATATAATTCTTCCTAAAGTATCCCTTCTTGAATTAATTTCCCAACACATAAGACAAAGAGTGACACCTTAATTTTACAGACAAGGAAGACAAAGAAGTACCGAGAAGTATGGGAAACAGAAGCTAAGATGAGAAAGGCTTTACTTTTTTTTTCCAGTTAGTTTCTGGCTGTCCTGGATCTCGCCCTGTAGACCAGGCTGGCCTCGAACTCAGAGATCCACCTGCCTCAGCCTCCGGAGTGCTGGGACTAAAGGCGTGCGCCACCATGCCCAGTGGAGTGCCATTTCTTGTTCATCACTAAGAAACTGATGTCTACACGAACCGTCTTCCCAAGGTCTTAACTTACTTTTCTCCACCCATGTCACCCAGCTACATCTAAGACCATGCCCCAGGCTGGTTAACTTCAGCATGGGTTAGTAACTGCCACTATGGGCTGCTTATTACATAAGCAGTATAAACTAGTCAACAGTATGTTAGAAAAGGAGATGAACAAAAGTAAAAACGAAAGCCCCCCGACTCCTGTAGGCACTGGTTACTACCCACCTTGCCTCTCTGGGCACGCAGGCACAAGTGTGCTTTCACAAATCTCATCTGTCCTACCGTGTCTGAAAACGGCCCTTCCATTCCTGTTTCCTGGCTCTCTAACATCTTACCGCTCTTCTCACCGACACTCCATTTACATCTCTAGTCCCCTTTGCTTTCCTGTCCTTTTCATACAGTCTTTGGCAAGAGTCAAATACCAGCCCAGTCATTCATCTCCTTGGCTGGATCTCTGGGCTTATATCCTATCTACTACAACAAACTTTGACCAAACATGCATAAGCCCTTTTTCCACTCTTCACTTCCCTCTGCCTACTAGTCAAAAGCATGGGCTCAGGGGCTGGAGAGATGGCTCAGTGGTTAAGAGTGCTGTTACTCTTCAAGAAGACCTGGATTTAATTCTCAGCACTCACAGGGCTGCTAACAACTGTTTAGAACTCCAATTCCAGGGGATTCAATGTGCTCCTCTGGCCTCTGAGAGCACCAGGCACACATGTGGTGCACAGATACACCAACAGGCAAAACACACATAAACTAAAACAAACAAACAAACAAACAAACAAACAAACAAACCACCAAACCAACCCCAGCTGTAGCAGCAGGACTCTAGAGCCACTCACTGGGCTCAGACCCCAGCTGTCACTTCCTAGCACAGAAAACTGAGTTCGCACTTGATCTATATACTCATGCTAGTGAGAGGACCTGGCCCTAGGGTCGCTAGTACATCTCAAGTGTACAGACCAGCACTTAGCAAGTATCAAGGCTACAGAAGTATTACATGTTATTACTCCTTTACCGTCAGACTTGAGAAAGCTGTCTATATCCTCTATTGTTTCTTCATTCCTTCCTAATCATTCTTTGCATTTTTCTATCAAAAAGCACAGCATGTATTTCCCGAATTTTCCTTTTGTGGTACTGAGATTTGGACCAAGGTCTGTTGTATGCTAAGTGCCCTACCAAAGCTTTATCCTAAACCCTCTTTATTGTTTGACTTTTATTTTAGTATTTTTAAAGATTTAGCCTGGTGGTATGCTGGGCATAGTGGCACTCACTTGCCTTTACTCCCAGCACTTGGGAGGCAGAGGCAGGTGGATCTCTGAGTCTGAGGCCAGCCTGGTCTATAGAGAGAGTTCCAGGACAGCCAGGATTACAGAGAAACTCTGTTCAAAACGAACAAAAAAACAAAAAACAAAACAAAACAAAAAAACCCAGAGATAAATACATTAAAAAAATAAAAATAAAAAAGATTTATTTATGTGTATGAGTATTTGCCTAGAGGTATATGCACCACAAGAAGGTTCAAAAGGAGGAACTCCAAACTCGTCTCTAGATGGATGGGACCAAAAAGGGAGTGTGTAGGGAATACAGCTCACTAGGAGAGTACTTCCCTCACACGAACAAGATCCTGGGTTTAATTGCTATCAGGTGTTGGAGGGCAAGGGAGAAGGAAGGGAAGAAGGGAGTCCACACAAACAGAGTCCTGGAAGGGTGGAGGACAGTACTTAGCATGTGGGCAGCAATCAGCTGGTACTGTCAGACTGCACACGAGGACAAAGGGCAGGTGAGTATCTCGGGAATCTTAGACAGACTCAGTGGAGAAGAAACTTCGGGCAAGGCTCACTCTCCTCCCGTCCCTGACAGGGATTTCAGAACCAGTGTGAGCTCCTTCCTCCTCTCTGACTATCAGTGGAAAGAAATGCCAGCCTGTTTTGCTCTTGAGTTGCTCAGCTCAACATGATAGTCTAGGCATACGAGGCTGCTTAAATTAAAAATTCTCTGCAACTAAATGCAATTAAAGTTCAGTTCCTTGCCTGGCATGGTGGTACATGCCTTTAATCCCAGCACCTGGGAGGCAGATATAAGTGGATCTCTATGAGTTCGAGGCCAGCCTGGTCTGCAGAGTGAGTTCCAGGACAGCCAGGACTGTTATACAGGGAAACCCTGACTGGAAAAAATTAAAAAAGAAAAAGAAAAAAAGTTCAGTTCCTTGGTCACAGTAGCCACATTTGAAATGTTTGACAGACTCAACAGCCACATATATCTGGACATCTTCATTATGGCTAAAAGGCCTAATTAACAATGATCTCAACCCTTTAAGGTCATTTCACCTTTTCTGCTACTGTCTGGATGCTCAGCTCCTTTTGCCTGCCTCCTTTCCTCTTTTTTAAAAACAGGGTCTCCCTCTGTAGCCTGGCCGACCTGTAACTCACTATATAAACCAAGTAGAACTTGTGTGCTAGGATTACAGACAGGTGTCATCATGCTCAACTTCCCTCTACCTCTTAAAAAGTTTGCGTCCAGTCTCAGACCTCGAGTTAGCCTGATCTTGCTTGAAGACTATGGCTTGGCTCAAGGGAATAAGGTCTGTGCTATCTGTGGCTGTAAGGGTTATAAGGCATCGGGATCAGTTATGGCTGTCAGGGATGATGTGTTTGGACCATCTTGGATTGGAGGGGATGGGTGTCTAGACTATCGGGCTGAGTTGCTCAGTTCCGTACCACGTGAATTTCACTCCTTCGACTGACTACCAAGCCAGCCTTCAGGCTCACACCTCCTGTTCTATTTTGTTCTATCTGTTGAGGGCTGAATGTATTCAGGACAAGAAGTCTCTTTCCCTGGCTTCAGAAGCGGGCATGTCTATTATCACCTGGTAAAGGACTCCACTAGACAGACTCCTGGATCTTTACCTCCCTCTGCATCCTACCCTCCTTCTATCAGAACATCTACCCCTTCTAGAGTTCTAGTGACCAACAAGCAATTGCCAGCTGCCTTATGGCCTATGGAAGATGTCAGATTTAAGGGGAAACATTTCTTGGATAATGGGAAGCAAAGGATAACCAAGCTGGAGAGGTCTCTGCCCCTCCAAGTCCACTTGCTCATCTGACAGAAGTGACAGGGAACAGCCCTGGATGGAGTAAAGGTTAAAGGCCCACAATCCCCAAGACAGTGTGTGAGAGCCAGGGGCTTCCCAGAACTACATTCCTGGGGATGTTTCTGCCCTTCCTACGACAGTGTGATTTTTACAGGAAAACGTGTTCTCTAGGCCCTAGGTCTCCTTCCATGCACAGGGAAACTAGTGAGAGTGGGATATGCTTAGGGAGGAAAGCATTCAACCTCTCTATCGAAGCCTCCATGGAGAGAGGCTGCCCTATCCTCCCAAAGTCCATCCTTTGGTCATCCCTTCTCCTAGACACCATGCCTCTGGTTTGAACACCTTCAAGGGGCACAGAAAAATAAGGACAGAGTTCTGACATCAGTAAGAAGCACAACATTCCTCAATATTCACAAAAAGTAGCAAAATAACCCTGCTTGTCAAAATTGGGAAAAAGACTAAGGGTAGGAACAACTAGGGAATGTGCACACAGAGAGGCCGGGGATAGCTCAGGGACAGAGGATGTGCTTAGCATGTACGAGGCACTGGGTTCTAGCAAAGCACCAAAACAACAAAAACCGTGCAGGCAGAGGGTCACTGGGCCAAAGGCCCGGCTCTAGCTTCCCGATTCTCTCGGAAGGGTTTCCGCCTCTATGTTCAACATACAACCTCATCCACGCCTGACTTAGAAGATGCCCTTCACTCCTTCACAGACCTTATAATGGGAAGCCGTGGAGGTAAGAGCAGGGGATAGCAGGCAACCCAAGCCCAGGGGACCTATAGTTATGCCTCTCTCCCACCCCTAGGAGATAGTATCTGGCTTTCTCTGGAGGAGCTCCAGAACCAGAGTCTCGCATTCTTCCCCTTCATGCTGAGGCCACCCGGCTGGATAGGGCTGTTTGGCAAGATCTTAGCCTGAAAGTCAAGGAAGTTCTCTCAGCTCCTGCTGAGGCTCCCAGAGCCCCACTCCCACTCTACTCACTGCCTTCCTAGCCCATTGCTCACAGCTCCTCCGTACTATTAGGAACTCAGGAGAAAGGTCTTGTTAAGCAGCCAGGGGGCCAGCCAACTCAGAAGCAGCAACATGCCCTAAAATGGTCAAAGAAAACTCCACAGGTTTGGCTGCAGCTCAGCTCCTGAAGGAAGGGGGAGAACTGGGCAGGGAGGATGAGTTTAGCCTAGCTTCCCCATCCCCCGCCTCAAGCCCTGGACCTAAGATTAACTAACCCCTTGTGCTGAAGGCTTACCATTCCATAGCACCTCCAGAGAGTGGGGGGACCGAGGGACAGCCTTATTTTCTTTCAGCACAGGGCTGACATAGGAGGCTAAGTAAGGGACAGACGTCCAGATCTGTTCAAGGAAAGTAAGGGACAGTATTAACAAACAAAGCTTCTTGTAATCACACACACACACACACACACACACACACACACACACACACACACACACACACCTCAGTAAGATCTTTAAGGCCTAACTCTCTGGCTTTCCTGTCATCCCACCCTTTTACCCGAGGTTCCTTCTGAGCCCCAAACGCTCCTGAGACCATCAAGTTAAGGAATCAGGAGAAATGGCCATGTCCAGAATGGAAGGAGAGAACCAGAACCACTGACAGCCCAGACACCATTCAAGCTCTCCTACTCTACTAACAGCTTGGGAACTTCTGTTTTTCACTGATAAGATGACTATCAGCCAGGGTGAGGGCTAAAGCAGTCAAGTGCCAGGCAATGTGGAGGCATCAGGTAGCCTTCCCTCAGTCTCTATGCAGGCTAACACCTCGTTCACCTTGGCTGCATTGACGAGTCTCCAAGCGTTGAGCAGGCCAAAACCATGCTGGTGGCTGTGGCTGAAGCCAGCCTCATTGGTGAGCCAGTCTGCATGACGATCCTCATACTGAAAGAACAGAGGTCCTGGTGAATCTCTAGCCTTGCCTGACTCCCTTCTCTCCACTCACCTACCAACTGAGCCAGTCCAGACCTTCCCACTGATGTGACTAGAAATGGAGTCCCTCAAAAAAGCTGAGACAAAAGGTCAAAGCCCCATGATCTCACGACCTGAGTGGCTTGCTTCCTGAGAGGGAGCAAGAGAAGCAGCTCCCAAGTGAGACTGCCCTGTCAGAGCTCATCTTAGATAAATGGCCTTAGCAGAAGAGGAATGAGTGAGCTCTGCTCTGTAACATTGATGGAGTCCTCACACCCATGCTCTACATATCCCACCATGAAAGTGTTTTACATATCCCATCCAATGCTGGAGACTTTTGGAGTCTGGAGTCTCCCGATAGTCCAACCCTGGAATGGGGTGGGGCTGGGCACTTGTTAGCTAGTTGCCAACTCTAACCTGGGTGGCTGTGAAGACAATGATGTGCTGGATGTCCCGCCATGTGAGGCAGGGCCGCACCTGCAGCATGAGGGCTATCATGCCAGCTGCCAGAGGAGCTGCAGCGGAGGTCCCTGTGTGGCCTTCCGTGCAGCCAGTGCCCTTCTGAAGGTCCCAGTCAGTGGTCACCTGCCAAGTGCAGGAAGGAGTGGGGAGGGTTAGACACTGGAGGAGGGGAAGGGCAGTCCTCCAAACAGGTGGCCCCGCCCTTTTGAGAGCTGTAACTTTCCCCACATACAGAGGGCCAGATAGGAGCCCCTTAATCCTCTGGTTTTTGGGATCTTTAGATGACGGAACTGGAGTGATTCTAGGGCAACAACCGTAGGAAGAGGAAATGATGGGGCATGAGAGAAGATGTGGGTACACATAAGTTTCCTGACTCTTGCTCCTCAAATTCTCTTTTATTTCTATCACTTCATTCCAAAATTCTCTATCCAACTATTCATAACCCAGCTAGCCAGAGACAAAAGTGGCCAGAGCTGCTACTGGGCCCTAGCTGGAGCTGGGGCAGACACTGGTGAGAGCATGTTCCCCAAGAAGGTTACTGCAGCCTTGCTTGAAGCCTGCTGCAGTTTCACTGTCTACATGGCTTCTCTGCCAACTGGTCTACCACAGGACAGGCTGCTTTCCTGCTCTGGTTGGTGTCTTGGTTGGGTTTCCGTGAGTCCCTCTTTCCTACTCATGTTTCTCAGATAAGACATGGAAGTCGGGAAAAGACAGTATCTGTTTGGTCTCAAGTTCTTTTCATGTCCCACCAATAAAAGCACATCAAATGTTTAGCTGAGCAAGCCCTGCTTAAACCTGCTTCCACACACAAAGCCAGTACAGGCTAGAACTTTTTTCTTTCAGTTTTCTCTTCTGGGTCAGATACCAGGATGCCAACTTTCACCAAGAGCTGCCTCTCTCCATCGTATTCCCAGCCTGTTGGCAGCTGTTATAGCAGCTGCCAAAAGATGTAATTTTCACCCAGACACTGTGCACTTTCAAAGGAAAGGGAAGAACATGCCAAATTGTAGTCTCCACGAGAAAGGAAGGCTGGTTGGTGCCAGGGAGCAGATTGATTTTTTCCTGTTAAGGAAACAGCCTCACAGTGATAGTCTAGAGTACAGATGTGAAGTCTGTGAACTTGCCCATAATGGCAAGAACATCACAGAGCACTAGGAAAATCTAGGGAAGCTCCCTGGGCAACAAGCCAGATGGTGGGAAGTCTATTCCCCTGGCCCTTACCCTCAGAGGCAGAGCTCCATCCAGATGCCTGGTCACATAAACAGGAGGTTGCCAAAGCAAGGGCATTCCAAAGATGGGAACTTGGCTGAACACACTCACTTTTCAAATGTGGACAAATTATAGTTCAGATGGAAGGTGGGGGTGAGGGTGAGAAGCTGAGCTGAGTTGGGAGGGCAAAGCTAGGCTACGCTGAATAACAATGAAGATTCTGCTACAGTGCCTTCTTAGGTCCCTTGCAGGGGGCAAGACTGGGTGGGTCCCAGAGCTCTGCCAGGTGCTAAAGAGCAGAACAAGTTCCTGTTCTTCCTAACACAGGCTGCCTGTAAGCTTCTTACTTTTCACTTTAGTCTGCTCCCTTCTCTGTTCTCCCTGGAGTGGGGATCAACTGGCCCACAGCCTTGGAACATTGTGTTGACCAGAAGTCATTTCCTGGCATAACCCTGTGTGAAGATGAAGCTGCTTAATTCCCAATGGCCCCAGAGACCTCCCAACTGGCCACTGGCTGACAGCATCTGGCTCCTGCCCAACTCTGGCCTGGAGTCTTCTAGTCTTACTTGACACTGTTAGTGGCAACAGCGACATCCAGGGTGCTCTAGGACTGTGATCCAGAGGCCTGATTTATGTGGCTGGGTTGGAGCCCAGCAGAGGTCCCTGAGTCCTTCAAGGACTATGTGGGCTAGAGAAGCTCCATTCCCCTGTTGCATTCTCAGGCTTTGGCTTTAATCAGAGCTGTAGAGAAGGATGGGGTCACACTGACACAGGCCAGTTCCAACTTCCTATCCTGTGCAACCTTACGATAAGTACTGCCTTTATTCTTAAGTTGGACATGGCAGTCAGTATTTATAAAAGGATTGAACAGCACTGTGGTGATGACCTCAGCCCACAAAAAGTAGTAAAAGCCCGAATTCTACCTCAAGGATCCCATTACCAAGTTAAAAAGTTTAAGATCAAAACCACTAATGCAAGAAGATCAGGAATTCAAGGTCATCCTCAGCTACATAGTGAATTCAAGGCCAACCTAGGTTATATGAGACCCTATTTCAAAGAACAGGATGGAAAAAAATGTTTTACCAGGTGTACTGTGTCATACCTGTAATCTCAACACATGGGAGGCCATGGCAGGAAAATGGATTGTAAATTCAAGACCAATTTGAACCATATTATGAGTTCGGAGCCAGCCTCAGCTACAGAGTGAGCCCTTGTCTTGAACCACCCCCCCCCCACCTCATAGATGCCGCAAGGAAACCTTGTAAGAAGGGCCCCCAAAGCACTCACAATGCTCCGAAGCATCTTGTCTCCACCACTGAAGGTAACTGCCAGCATGGAGGCACATTCCTCTGCATAAAAAGGCATCCGCCCCTCTTCGTCCACAGCACCTGGCACAAAGAAATGAGATGGGAGCTCACCTAAGGAGTGGATCCTGTGGCTAGCACCTGCTTCTTGAGTTGCCTTCATCATGAGGGGACGGGTTTGTCTTGAGCTGAAAGAACAATAGTCCTTTTCTGCATGTGGGCAGGTAGCCTCCAATGGCAGGGGAATTCTTATGCTGTACCACTCTTCCCATAGGCTTCAGGCAAAATCAATGGCCTTCCATCTCTGTACTTAGTCACTTGTTTTCAATATTCACTCAGATCTACTGTGAGTCACACATATTAGGCATTAGAGCCATATGGAAAAGGCCACATCCTGGACGGGGTAGGAAGGAGGCAGTATGCAGTGGTAGAGGGGTGGGGACACTCCCTTGTGACCTAGAGACTCACTACTAGGCTGATGCCAAAGAGCCTACTGTTAGGTAGGAAGTCAAATAAGCAAATAATAATTAAAATGGAATGACAAACTCTATGACTAGGAGCGCAGGCCAAGAGTCCTTCATTCAGGTGAAAGGGCAGGCAGAGCCAGCTTCAAGCCAGTGGCCATGGAAAGAGACCAGAGGGGAGGTCAAACCCATCACAATGGTAGTGGAGACAGGTGGGTGATTTCTGGGGAATGGTTGAACATGTCCCAGAGAAGCTCTGAGAGCCTGCAGGAGCTGGCTAGCTCTCCCTGATCTCCAAGAAAAGATCATGGTTACACATTTAGATAAAGAGTGAAGTGAGATGCAAAAACCACCCACTGGCTCCATTCCCACGACGTCTCTAGACCACTACCTATTGTGACAGTGTAGATGGAGTTGGCATAGCCATCATAGTTGCAGTTGTCATTGTGCTGGCCCCCGTTACCACTGGCAACCACAAAGATACTCCCAAAGCCCTGGCGACCAGCCATCACTCCATGTTGTAAGGCGGCCTGAAGAACAAAAATGGCAGGCTATTAGTCAAAGAACCGTACCTATTGGACCTATCACTCTTCTCCTCCCACTTCTGGGAAGAAAAGAAAAATGGAAAGGGCACTGGGCAAGGGAGAAGGAGATTTAGGCACAGACATAAGGTGGGAGAAAGCTATAAGTTAAACAGTGTTTGACAGATATTCAGATAGATTCTGCTTATCAGATGACAGAGCAGGGTGAGGAACAGAAACCCAGAATGAGATCCAAGAGAAACAAGCTGGAAGCTGTTCCATTCCTTTCTCTGAGAATCAGTGTTCCACATGCCCCATCCTGAGCAAGGCACACACTCTTTCTTGAAAGGATGGACGGCATGGCTATGCTAACTGGTGTGATGTGGGCATATAATGAGTGTGGGCTGCTGGGAAGAGGTTTGACTGGTGCTTCTTCTAGAATTAAATGAAGGAGATGTCAAGTTTCCCAGACTTCAAGCATCTTAGTTACCTTTCCAAGCTGGTGAGGACCATCCACTGTCTTCCCATCATCATCTGGACCCCAGCTGTTGAAATAGGCAAAGGGGCCGGG